AGCGCGCATGCGGCCCAAAATGGTGCATGACCGACCCAACCCATAACACGGGCTGGCTTGTAGGAAGCATTGCTCTGGGCTAGGACACCCTAACAAAATGAAGCGAGCTGAAGCGAGCCAATGCGAGCGATGCAGTTGCTTTGCTATGTTATTAAACATTCTTCATAAGATTTAATATATGCATTGGAAGCATTGGCCGGAAGTCATAAGCATCTCGAGTCTCAAGTCCACAGAGCCATGGTGGGCCGGACGCGTCTCAATTGCTTTCCGCTTCACTCGCCCTTCCCCAAGGTACTTATTTATATAATTTTATATATAATATAAACATATATATAGTATAATATATATACAGTATATATGATCTTAACAATTCTTAACATATTTCTTGAATCCTGCACTGTGGAATGTTCAGCCTTGAGCACTTATTTCAACACGAGGCTGTGACGCATTTTCAGCACTTATTTCAGCTTGAGGATGTGCACGCAAAAGGGACAGATGAAAATGAGAAGGACAAGACAGACAAAGGTGTGTGTGGTTGCCGATGAAAAGGAACCAAGTGAAGAGGGACAACCGATGAGCCAAACCTCATTGTAACGAACCTGGGCCACCTGAACCTCGCTGTCAGTAGAGTACGCGTGCGTGTATGTGTACAAACTAATGTCCGGACGATAGTGCGCGCAAGAGAAAGAAAGGATGAGGATGAAGAGACATGAAGACAGAAGGACAGGAAAGAAGGGGAAAAAAAGGCTGTGGGGGCGGATGAAAGGGGAACCAAATGAAAGGGACAAACCGATGACAGCCCAAACCTCATTGAGAAACCTGTTGCAAAAGCCTAGTTTGCTTGTAAATACGCCACGCGCGGGGAAAGAGGGGGGGAGGGGAGGAGGGAAAGAGAAGGAGGGAGAGAAGGAAGCAAAGGTGTTCCCAGCTACGGCACAAGCGTCCAAGGACACACCAAAAAGGACTCCCAGCTATGACGAAAGCATCCAGGGACGCCCAAGGAAAGGGTGAAGAGAGGAAAAGAGGAAAAAGGGAAGGAAAGAAAGAGAGAGGGAGAGAAAGGGAGAGGAGAGAAAGGAAGGTGTTCCCAGCTACGAACAATCGTCCAGGGACACACCAAAGAAAGAAAGAGGAAATCCTGAGTATTACATTCAGGAAAGCCCCAAAAAGCAAAGAAAGAAAGGGGGAGGGAAGGG